CCCAAAGTGCTGCGGAACCTCTGGCATTTTTCGGAATTTCCGCAGGGTTTTGAAGAAGGTTCTGCGGAAGTTCCGGTTTTCAACCAGTTTGGCATGAAAATCCCGCGGAAGTTCCGATTTTTAACATTTTCATTTTTGCAATAGTGAACAAAATTCCGCGGAACTTCTGCAAATTTGGCTCGTCTCGCGGAAATTCCGGTGATTTGTCTGAGTAGCTGTAGCATGATCATAATGTACATATATGATTGGATTTGGTAGATTTGGGATCAGCAGTTTATGCTTTCAAGGTGGTATATATCTCATCCCAAAGGCAACTTCGACGAAACATGCTTTCCTTGTCAGAGTAGACACCTCTACGGGTAAAGGTTATCTTTTCTATCCTTAGGTAGGAATTTATTTGAAGCGATGTATGTGCTAACACTTTGTGTTTCTGCAAAAGACATCAAGGATGGGGAGGGCTAATTGCACACTGTGTGTAATGGCACATATGACCCTACTGATAGAGACTGTATAACTTTCAGGAATATGTCTGTGCACGTAGGTGGCTGGCACAAGTTATCATTCATGTGAGCTCCCTCCCTAGGGCAATGAACATTGCACACCTGTCCCTCTGTTGCCTTTTGGCAAATAGCAACAAACAATCTACGTTGCACTCTCTCATACGAACAGCTAGTGACACATCATGCCAATAGTACAACCCACGCAATCCAAGAACTCGTGAGTGCTTGCTGTCTCAGAAAATGCGACCCACTGTGGGTCCTATTTTCTCTGAACGCGAACATTGCTAGTTTACATGAGGATTCATGGATCATGCGACTTGTTCAGACAATTCACTTAATCCTTTCAAGCTCAGCAAATGAGAGCCTTTCGTATGAACATATCCAAAAAACAATGGCGAACGCGGCATAAAGCAGAGCCAGGCGACCGCGATGATCCGAACAGTAGATCTGTGACATTTTCATTTAGACAGCCTATAATGTTCATCTTGTTCACCAAGGGCTTGCGGTAGGACCACGGTACGTGCAGTGAAATAATGTAATATCAGAGATTGGCAAAAGAAGTCAGTCGTAGATGTGAAGCTGTGACTATCATTTGTAATCAGCAGAGAAAACCTCCGAATGAGATTAGTGGCCGAAAAGTAGTAAATGTTAGAATTGGAGTTTGTCTAGGTACCCAACCAAAAGGTGCAGTTTATGACCGAGGTTCGTGCTGACCAGACCACTAGGAGAGAACACAAGCCTTTATCGAAAGACAAACAACAACAATACAAAAAGTAACAAGAGAGATTGAACAAAAACAAACGAGCGATGCGATGCGTGCCTCAAGACTAGCGTTCGCCTTGGGTCAATGAGATCAGATCACAAAACAAAACACCACTAGTACGCAAAAGAACCTTCTAGCGCAATGCTCAAAACTTAGCAAAAGCTCAATAGAAAGAAACTACCACTAGCGCGATTTACCTAGGCGGGCACGAGAAGAAGTGTTCGGTCTATATTTTATATGTATGTGCGTGTAGCAGAGGGAGGCTAGTGTTGAGGCTGCTTTAGTGTTGCACGTGGGTCTGTATGGTACTTCAGACTTGAGTAATGAAGCTTTATTGTGATACGATTACAAACAATAAAGATGTAGATGTGTGAAGTGTCTCCAGAGACGTGTCACTCTGTCGTGTCAATCTTCGGACTGCTTCCCAGGATACTTGTGATCATTTAGAAACTTCTTGGTGCACAGGAGACTTGATGCTCCTGGTCCAGAGTACTTGTTGGATCTGATGCAACCCGGGGAAGACTTGTGGAGGAAGATTGCCTATTGGAGACTTGTCGTCCTCACAGCGAACTACTTGTAGGAGAGAATCCTCTTGGTGAGCCGGAGACTTGTCGTCCTCCCAGCAGGCACTTGTGGAGAGAATCCTTGACCTCACTCATCCATCGGTATTTATACCCTTAGACTTGTTTACTATCAAAGTCATTGTTGACTGAAGATAATAGTGATAAGGTGATAGGATGAGGCTGCGATGACTTGTTCGGTCGATCTCTTGGGGCATTCTCCTAACTACTATAATACAAGGCAAAAGGAACAAATAACCATAAACAATAAATAATAATACAGTAGGTACAATCTACAGTACATAAATCTTCTTGTGGTCGACTTTGGCGGCAGTGCGTTCGAGTGTTGGAAAAGTCGCTTTATTCTTTGAAAAACGAAATGATTTGCATTCGGTTTCTGCGCAAAAAATTGTTTGAGCAAGCTCCTAACAGTCTTCGTAACACTTTCCAAGTTCTTCTCACAAGCCGTTAAGAAGCACTCCCTTCCGATCGAGCTTTTAGAAGCCTCTTACAGTGGTATTGTGCTATGAGAGGTTCTTACGAGCTTTGAGTACTTCTCGATGGGCCAGTCCCAACACGATATCAACATGCTTGAATCGGCAGTGAAATCGCAAACGATTTTTCCTTTTTCTTTTTATCTTCTTCATCAGACTTAATTATTTCGTATTTGTGCTAAAGAATTTACTCGAATACGAATCTTCGGTTCCAACTATACCATAGATGCCGAGGGTCGCCTAGATAGACCACTGCAACAACTCGATCTGGCCTCCTTTACTAAGAAAATTGCCTTCAAGTGGCCTGCAGTGAACGGTTTAGTCAGCATGAGTGACTTCTTCGGTTTCTCCCCAGATATGTCTTTCCATTCAGCGTTCACCTTCTCAATGTTGCTGTCACCATGACGAAGACTAGAGTGAGAAGGCACAACAAAACCGCGTTGCTTCGTGGGGCCTATCGAAAACGGGTTTTGAGCACTTCATGCGATTTTAATAGATATTCCGCTTATTATAGTGTGCATGCACTGAAGGTAAAATGCGGTAAAATTTGCGCGTGAGTAGCTGCGCCCGTAACACCAGCCAATTGCGCGCAAAAGTCTGGCATTACTGCCGTGGCTACTTGTTCACGCGCAAAATTTACCGCATTTGACCTTCAGTGCAACACACTATATTGAGCGGAAAATTTACTCGATTGTAAGGTTTGATGCTTCTAGCATGCAGAAATCCCGATAACCCAATTTTGGTGAGACACTGTGCCTTTGACACGTTCGGAACGGGAAATCGCATAAAATGGCTTGCTACATACGTCATGTGTAGCATGAAGGATGTAGCTCGTCAACATATAACACAGGATTGCTGCATATTCTTTGAGGAGGATTAAAAGACAGGAGGATGTTCAAGAAATTTGTTCATCTCGAAAATTAATGCCTGGCTACCCTCATATATCCGTATTTAAATCATTCCTTATTTGTTATGCGCACACCACGCGCTACTTTACGACTTGTAAGATTAATAGCTGTAATTCTGCTATGAGTTCTCCCTGCTTTATCTCTCCCTTAGCTTCATTTTGGATGTATCGTATCGTTCAGTAAGTAATTTCGCTTTTTTTCAAACGAGCATAACATCGCGCAGAACAAAACCTTCGGAAGCTCTGCCTATTCGCTTATTTCAGTTTAACCAGTAGCACATAAAATCTTTAAAAGGTGCGATCCATGATTTTTGCCATATGTAGTTCACCAATCTTGCCAGTTTTACGACCCATCGATGAACCCCAAGTAAGGGGTAGGTAGTGCTAAATACAGAAACGAAGCAGAGCTTCTTTTGTACAAAAAAACTGAACGCATAATTATTGGAAGAATCCCGACTGCATTAGCCGCAAAAATCCAATATATAGGCTGAACCAAAAGTTTTGTCGTATTGATTTTGAAAAATTCGTAATTGTTCCTTGTGTGAGCATATTCGCTTACAACTGAAAGAAAATTATCCCTTTCTCAGTAGCACATTCGAGGCTCATGATGACAAGGAGAATAGGAATATCACTCTGACTTCCGATTTTTGAAAAATAAATTGTCAAAATTCCAATACACTGGAGAAATTTGGAAAAAATACGAAAAAAATAATTTTGCCTTATTCGCATTTTCTATAACATCATAACTTTTCGTACAAAAACTCAATCAGCACAATCTTAGAAATTTGATAGAGCAGCTTACACAGACTCCTTTTATCAAAAATCGTCAGAATGGTTCTTCTATTCGAATTTTTATCCCTAGAATCCCATTGTCAAAAAGCATCAAATATGTTAGCTGATAAACGACTTTTTCTATCCAATATATTTATTGAAAGCAATTATGCTCACTCACGCAGGGAGCACTTACGAATTTTTCAAAATTAACGCGAAAGAACTTCGGTTCAACTATTATTAACAGAAGGAAGCTTCAACAACATGGTATTTGCTCAGTAATTACTTAATCGATAGTATTTGACAGAGCTTTTTAAACAACGTCATTTGCTATATAATCTATATGGTCTGTACTGAAGTACTGTACTGTACTAAAGTACAAACACTGTAAACATTTTAGTTGTGGTTGATTTGAGGCAAAATCGCTTAGATTATATTGATTGTGGTAAATTATTGGTACGAATGTGCTTTGGAAGATGAAAGATGTGATTTATGATGTGGTTCTACCGACCATAAGTGGAGAAGACCATGGGAAAAAAATTCAAAAGCGATTTTCTGATAGGTCAACGATTTAGCAAAGTTGCATCTAAAGCACTTTTGTTTTGAAAACATTGTCACAATAGAAAAAATCTGAATACGTTTTTCATTCAAACTGAAGAGTCTCAGAGCTCTTGTATTTAGCTGTTCTGGGAAACCTCTGGTAGTTTTTTGGGAGATCAGAGAAACAGATCATAACAAATTGTGATGCTTGTCCAGTTTGATGCAAAGACAATTTTGTTGACTGCCTAAATGTCATTTATCTGGCTTTTTGGCTGATCTAATAACATTAGTACACTAGAATGTTACGTTGAAATTTATTTAACGAGATGTGCAGTTTGTTCAGTTCTGATGTAATGCCATATTTACTTGGTAGTATTGGGCTCTGTGTTATTTCAGCTTTTGCGTGTGAGTGTATAAAATACGGTGGAAGCAGTCAAACCCATTATTATTCAGCCTTCAACAAGGATGAAACTTCTAGTGCTTACCGTATGCATTTCACAGCTTTTTCTACGTTGTACACTTTCCGGTTTGCCGAATATGTTCATTAAGGTACTTCTGGTAGCGACTGTAAATGCGAGCCCAGCCCCAGTGAAGCCTGTGAGTTTGTAGACGTTTGTCGAGACCAACAACATAGTCATCGGCAACTGAGATGTTAACTACATCTAATCGTTACCCTTGGAGTAGCGATCAAGAAATAAAGCATTTCCTTGCAGTTTCCCATATCATGTAAAAATGACAAACGTCACGAGCAACATTTTTGAAATCAGGAAATCATTCTAACTAACATGTCGTACTTTCAGCAGCTCGGTAACTCCGGTCAAAGCCAATCGGTAAGAAAAAATACTCTCCAATTTCCTAGTTTTGTGACAAGCACATTAATCACGTTTTCAGCTTGCCGATGAGGGAGCAGCACTGGTTGCAGAGTTAAAAGAATTGAGTGAAGTGGGTTCCAATCAACAGTAAATCTAGTTGTGGAAATGCAACGTCAATTCTTATATTTCAATCTCAACTTTTTAGAAGGACATCAATGCGTACATGACGGTTCTTCGCGTGAGTTTAAGTTGATGATTATTTGTATTAACTCCAAAGTCGAGATGAATAGCACACAGAAAGACACCCACATTTGTAGGATACTTACCGCATTCGGAAGAATAGCTTGTAAACAGATCCAGTCTATTTACCTTCTTCCGTAGGATTGTGAATAATTGTCGCGTGTAATACATGCTCTTAGCCTTTGAGCTCGCATTTGTTCGGCCATCTTTAGATTTTGTAGGACTTTCGAACAACAAATTTATTTTGCAAATTATCTAATGTGAGGGCATAATATACTTCATTTCAGGATCTCTTGTATGCCTATCATCCATCGGAAGTGAGTGTTTTCTGTTAATATATATGGATGTGCTGCTTATTCTCAACCGTTTAGTGCTCTAAGCATATATTCGCACATAAAGTTAGTTGGAAAAATCACATTCCGTGACGAGCATGGTCGTTTGAAAATTCTATTCGCTACTGAAATCTTCACACATGAGATTAAAAGGAAAGACACCTAACTTTGACTGGTTTTTAAGAGACATACACATAAGCTTCAATCGCTGATTTCAAACATTCTGTTCTAGCTGCGACGCATTATCATGAAGCTGCAAGCATGCAAGCTCATCGACTTACTGACATCATGGTAAGGTCATCTAAGAGCTACATAATAGATTGCATTAACCCATTATACCAAGAAAGCTTTCAGCAAGGTCAATGTAAATTATTAGCTCATGATGGCACCGAAATGTCAGTAAGTCGCATGCAGATTTTGCAGAGAAAAAAGTCAAGACGCTTCATAATTATGCGCCTCAGCTAGGAAAAGCATATCAAGAATCTGCATTTCAAGCTGGTTGCCAGTCTAAGTTAGGTGCAAAATGATTTTCATCTAATTATTAGCTGGCAGACCCAGTTGCGCTCACTTTTGTCGAACACTAATATAGAGTTAATACTTCCTTCCGATACTGTCAGTTTCAGCACGCTATTCGTAATCAGCATACTCATTAACACCCCATTTCAAATTTTGGCCCTCTAGCTCAACGCGAACTCCTTTTATCAATGGAAGTCATTATTTTTTTCAAAATTAAATGTGTATTTGTAATGCATGCTCAATTACCTCCAAATTTCCCGCGTTATTTATCTTTAAAGTCTCGAAAGACTATGGAGTATCGTATGAAGAGTGAAGTATGACCACTTCTTCTCTCTTCCTCCCCCCTCTCCCTCCACTATCGCGGCCCCGTAGTGCACATACGAAAAAATTCTGGGCTAGATTGGCAACAAACAAATCTTCTGACTAGTACATGAATGCAAGAACACATTCTACAGACAAACAATGATTATATGATAGCGATTGCACACACCTCTAACTTTCATATGTCTGGGTTCTTTGCATAAACTTCAAGACTGTGATACATCTCCATTTTGTGTATGGTCCAGTAACTGTACAAGTCAGGTTTCAGATGTTACTGAACCTTTTTTCAGATAGAACAGCCCAGCACAGGAGGAAAAGGATATGAGGTAAGACTGATTGTACTTGCATTAGTAGTCAAGGAGGTACTTGACTTGCGCTTGGCCATGCGTTGATCTTTTGAGTTCCCGAATAGTAGTAACTGAAATTCTGGAAATGCAACCCACTCTCACCCAGGTGATCTCAACTTTTCAGCTCAACGATTTTTACCATGGTAGTGCAGATGAGTTTTTCAGTGACAGATCACTTGCATTTACTTTAAAATCTAAGTGCATACACAAAAGAAGAAATTCTTAGCATGACCTCTAAAGGCACCGTCCACCCAAATTCTCGATTTCCATGTTTCAATTCGATTCCAGGCCTTCTGAAGGCCCTGATTTCGAATGTGGAGTCGAAAATCCGCTAAACACCCAAAACTCCCCCAGAAGCAGTCTTTTGCGGCGCAGCTTGGAGGTTTGCCTAGTGTGGGGGCCCACACTAGTATGCCTTATAATCTCGCCAACCTTTCGCTTTGTAGTTGGCGATCCCCCTTTTCCTGAACTTTCGAGGATTTGGCTTCTTCATGTCCTCCGTCCGCAAAAATTACGCGTAGGTAGGCAAGGTCCGAACACTTTCGGAGTAAATTTTAGACTTTCGAGGCGGGCTTTCTCGCTCCAAACTTTACTGATAGATTAGAAGGCTCTGCCATTGCAACGCCTCATAATCCCGATACCCATCACTTTGCCGGACGTTGCATTTAACTATCTAGCAAATTGTAGTTTGAAAATGGCATAATTCATTTATGGCTGGAGGGTGGGGAATACGCTTTGTGCGATACAACTTAATCAGACCTTTTCAGCTTACTCGCGAAGGTTTACAACTGCTTTTGGATCTTTTTAAAGTGAGTTATTAAATAGTTGGTCAAGCCATAGTGTTGCGATACACAAGTTTTACGCTGAAAGTAAACTCAACTTTTCAGCATGGCAATCAGGCTGATCACGACTATGTTAACGTAAGTTTTCATATATGGATAGATTATCCTCATTCGCTCTGTTCTGTGGTGCACATCAGGCGAATAGACGTTCTTTGCTTAAGCGCAAGAATGTTGCACCTTCGCCTCCCGTTTGTGCTCACAACTTTCTTGAGTACCAAATTTCGCTTTATGATTGACTATCCTTCAATCTGTAACTGAAAAAAAATTCTCTGCTTATTTTATCCAATGAAGGTGTCTGACTTGTCGCATTTCAGAAGCAACTTGCACAGTTCTACCTAGACAGCTTGGAGGTGAGTTTGTATCTAGTGATAAAACTTTAGCTGCATTTCTGTTGTTTTCCAAACTTATTGCTTCAATGCAATTAATCAAGCTTAAGTTAGCAAAAGTGATTTCTGTTACGAAATTATAGACGTTCAAGAAGCTCATTCGCAATCAGGTTTTGCATGCATAGACGCGTGGAACACATCTGATTAATCTTAGCATGACGATGCCAAATCATCCGGACGCATGCTACGGTTTACCTCACTAGCAATTTGTAGACTAAACTGATTTTCTTTCATTTTATCTCCCTTGCAAAAATCACTAGAAAGTGATTTGTACCTAATCACTTAACAAGTCTGGTTTTGCCTTGACCTGCATAGTTTGTAACAACGATGTGGTCCCTTCCCGAACAGCTTAAGCGCAACGCTGGGCACCGTATCCGCGTTCGTTGGGTGCCGCTTGAGCGTTCAAGGTTGCATCGTAGATCGGAGACCGATGCGCGATGCTTACGCGCTGCGGATGCGTATTTGCCACGGGTAGGGGAGCACGTGGTTGACCAGATTGCACTCTCTATTTCATGTGGATCTGAATATTTGGTTGCATTTGTTCCAGTCCTGAGCTGCGCTTCATAGTCAACTTTTCGGAATACGCGCATGCAAGCATTAGCAAAAAATTTGACTCTATAGGGCATTGGAGAGGACTGAGCTGAGTGTTAGGTGATGCCTTCTGTATTAGTGCCACGCTCCTGTAGGCGCAAAAACCGCAGTCAAATTCTTCGTCTTAGTTTCAAATGACCTACATGTATGTTCATAATCTTGGTCGGCAGAAATTATTCTATTTGAACATACTGCAAAGACACACCATAATGCAAACAGACTGCGCTTTATATACCTTAGTCTCAATGACAATCTCGCGGCTATGCGTCGCGCTCGCGAGTTTACCCTCTGAATTTTTCTGCGGCTGCTAGCCTTTGGTCGTTACGCAAACTGGAAAAGTATCCACAAGATACGTCGGGAAATTGAGCATGGAGGTCGCGAGAGACCTGAACCTCTCACTTCCACCGGCGACAGTTTTTGAAAAAGAGGTTACTTGAGATAAAAACGACTGCATGTACCTTTGAGATTCAGAACAAGTTGTTGAGAGGACTCCCTGCATCCAAACTGTGTAGCACATCTTTTCTACGAATGAATCAATAAGTGTTCAGGTAAATTTCAAATGAAAGTATTGAAACACACTTTTTCAGGGCAAACCTCATCCAGACTACTTCCCTCAAGTTGCGGTGAGATCACAGGCTTATCATTGCATTTACATGTCAGGAGGATCTATGTTTCTTACAACAGGCCATGCGCTACATAATCTCAAATTGATAAAAGGAAGTCGTGATACTCACGATTTTGATCTCGGCTGCGCGCATTCCAAATTAGTAGTCCTCTTACTTGTGACGGTTCCTCGAGTTTTGCAGATGTGCAAATAACGACCTGGAGGCACGTATTTATCCACTTCGCTCAGTTCATGCCTTTCATGGCATCGAAACAAAACGTTGTGTCACTTCAATTTGGAGAAGCGAATGAAGTATAAGTAGTATGGCGTGTGCCTCATGTTCAAATTTACGGTCAACGTTGAGGTTATGTAGAACTGCCCGCTTTTCGTTTGCAAATTTTGAGCAAAACTCCGACTGAAATGATTGGCTTTTGAACGACAGTGCAAGCACAATTACATTGCCATTTTAGAAGCCCGCTGGGGAACGAGGTCTTCAGCTGAATTCCAGAGGGCCCGCTCATCAGGTAAGAAAAAAGTTAATTTTGTGATGTTAGGAAGCAGATTGTCCTTGACTGCAAAAGTATTCTTCTGATCAGCAGATACATACACCCCAAAATTGGAAAAAGATGTGTCAAGACTTTAGTTATAAAAGATTGGATTATTTACGTATCTCTCAGCACACTATCTGTATTTCAAAGCATTTATATCAAGCTTTTTCGAAACTGCTTTACTCTTTCTTCACTCTTTCTCTCTTTTGCACTTTTCCTTGGTTCTAACCTTTCATCAGCCGTTCGCAAAATTCAGCAATAAAAAAAGGAATTTTTATCTGTCATTAGCTGACATACCCAGTTGCGCTCACTTTTTGCCATTCACCTATTACAGGGTATACCATTTTATTCCGCTTCTACACATCAGTACCGCTGACATCCATTCCAGCTTCTGGCCTTCTAGCTCAAATGAACGAAAAAACCGATAGCGCCAGAACTCCATATTTCTTTGGAACCTATTTGATTTTCAAAGCACCTGAAGTCGAATCACGTAAACGAAAAATGGAGCATGACAAGATCTTCTTTTCTCTCTCTCTCTCCCCCCTCAAGATCTGTAATACATCTGCATTCTATGAATGACTTATTAAGTGTGAAAGCTAGGTGAAAATGTTACTAAAGAATTTTTTCAGAAAATACTCCCCTCACAATATGCTGGACCGGTGAGTCATCATTCTTTTGTTACAAAAATATTTGTTAAGAAAACGTATGTGATATACTATGCCGCGTGTTGAAATGATGAATCGCATGAGTTGCAAATGCTAGTAACTATATAAAAGGTTCCAATCTCACATTAGAAGTTATCTCAACTTTTTAGCTAGTCTTGCACTGTATGGATAACCCTTACCAGCCTTATCCATACAGCGCAATTTTTGTATCAATGCATTATTTGTATTCAACTTGCCTTCTATTGCATAGTAAAAAACATATTCTTAGCGTAACTTCGAGGGAGCGGACTTGGACTTAGAACTTTTTAAAACACAATCAAACTCCTGGCGATGGCAATCAATCGCTGCTTGTAGTTACTAGCATTATCTTTTAGCATTCGCTTTGTGATTTGTTATCCTTCAACAGCCCGCAGCATCAGTCTAAACAATCCTTCTGTTCAACGTATTTAGCAAATTTGTCTGATTTAATTCATTTTACAGTCTTTCATCCGGCATCGGCTCCATGAGTTTTCATCTACATAGTAGCAATCAGTTAGCTGCATATACAGCTCATTTCCGAGCCTTTCTTTCTGAACAAATATTCGTGCGCATTTTAAGATTTCTTAGCAGAACTGCATAGTAAACGGCCCATACACTTTGAAGAATTTAATCGCGATCAGAATTTACACGCATACAAGGAATACTTGGAAACTAATCCTAGTTTCTTCTCAATGGCGGCGACAATGTCCAGACGTCCGCTTTTTAGTTACACCCCCTCGTTGGCAAATCAAAGTGTTAGAATGATTTCCTGTCTTGGTAACGTCCTTCGCGATGACAGTTAAAGAAAATGAATTTTATTTAGATACTAATTAGATTGTTTTTCGGGGTAGTTGGAAATTTCATTTCCTGGAATCTCATCGCTTGCTTGAAAATTAACGACAAGTTTATTCTAAGTATCTGTGGAAGAAAGCTTTTGCAATGCTCTTCTAATTTTTCATCTGTGTCCAACATATCGATATCGTTTTGTTTTACACACCTAAAAAAGACTTCTTTTCAAGAACACAATTTCATAAATTTTTGCATTTTCTGTATTAAACTAACAAGGGAAGGAGCCCTGGTACATTTTAGCAAATGGTCGAGCTATCAAATTTTCTCCATTTTTCTACTGCGAGAGTAGAGTTCACGACTTTATTTCGTTTCTATATCTTCTATACGCTGTTCGTAATTAGCTTACACGCTGACACAAGCTCAAAGTTCTAGCTTTCTAGCTCGCATTTGCAAAAACCATATCGATGGAACTTGATATGTATTCGGAACAATTGATGTTTTTGTAATGTACGCTTACTTACTGCCACTTCCGATCCCAGCTCCTCAGCCCGCACAAACAAGAAATCATTATCAGTCGTAAACGAAAACTGGAGTATAGGCCTTCTTCTCCGTCCTATGCTCGAGAGAATTTTTAAAGTGAACACCAATGACGACACATCTCCGTTTTGTGAATGGTTTAATAAGTGTACAAGTTAGCTTCTGTTTCTAAAAGCATTTTTTTTCAGAAAAATACCGCGCCCACTGGAGATAATATATTGGTGAGTCATGGTCGTATTATTGCAATAAGTTGTTGTGACACGTATGTGATTACAATGGGATTAGTGTAAGCTTGAGGAATCACATGAGTTCCCGAGTACTGGTAAATAAATCTCTCTGAATGCACTCTTTCTCCCATCCACAGTTATCAACTTTCAAGCTCATTAGTTCTTACATTTTTATTCTTGCAGCGAAAATTTTTGAGTATTGATAGACCATTTGCATTCACTCTAATTTTCATGTGCATAGTATAGGAATAATTTGTATTACGTTATCTATGTGTTGCATGACTTCAAATGTTTTTTGTGAGGAGCTTATAGAGTTTGAGGAAATAGGGGTAAGATTTGCATGCAAAATATAGACGCTTCGAAACTGCGCCTGTTTCAGTAAGTCTTAAAGACGATTTATATGTCACACTTTCGGAAGCAAATTGAAATGTTAGAATCTTTCCTCTCCCGTAAAATTCTTCGCGGAAAAGTAAGAAAAAGTAGTCGCATCTATAATATTCGTTGGCTATTGGTTGGTAAAGACAATTCCCAAGCAGTTCGAACAATCGTTTTTTGGTCTAATTCTTTGCATTTATTGAACAGTCACAGACAACTCTTTTTGCGGTTGTGTAAAAGGAAGCTTTGTTTTTCAATGCTTGATTTTAACTTTTAATTTTTATAAATGTCAAATCGTATCTGTTTTACACATAAATATGTTATTTCCAAACAAATAAAATCACAGATTTTATTCCAGCTGACAATCTTACGTGCTGGACAAAAGAATCGCAAAATTTCAAGGAAATTTAAAAGTGGGCCTTGTATCTATAAACTCGCAGCGGCACTCAAATTCTGTCATACACGCACGAAAGTACAGTTGTCTTTGTCTCTGCCTCTGTGAGCAGTTTTCTCAGCAAACATATTTCTATGCGGATTTGCAAGCATGATGATGGGCCCAAAATATGTGCAATACTACTCAAACGATATTTGCAGTAATCAAAACATTGGCTCAGTCCTTTTGGAGATGGAAATAGTTCAACGTTAATCATTTACAAAATGTTTTCAGGGTGGAAGAAAAGGCCAAATTTTCAAACCTTTGAATTTTCCCCAAAGCTCTATGCTAGAGACAATCCTGCAAAAACAAACTTTTTCGAGTCATATTTTTTCTCTTACGTACGGGAGGCACTCGCTTACTATGCAGACCTGTAGGCAATTAGCAAAACATCTTGTGAAGAGCTGACCTTTTGGACATCCATTCGCAATCAGTATTTACACGTCTGTGAGATACGCTTAGCATACATCCCGATTTTTACTTAGCTGTGTTAATATCTAGAAACGCGAACTATTTTTCAGCTAAGTTCCCCTTATTAGCAAATTACATATGAAAGCGTTTTTGCTCCGATACCGTCGTTCGTGATATACTGCAAAGAGTATCTAATTACCAGCTAGCATTCTCAGTTCGGCGCGGACTCTGCTGATACGTATATATAAAGTGTAGCATTCAATTCTCACTTCTACCCATAAGCTCTCAGTATGATATTCGTAGCATGCCCATTCATAACCGGTACTTAGTTCTGGCCTTCCGGCTTACGTTTTGCAGCTCCCCCCCCCCCCATAAAATCAGCGTTATTTCTTTGATGTGTTTTAATCCTCGTGTTTACGCGCTCCCAGTTTACGATGCCAATTCCCAGCTCAACAAAAAAGAATCAAGTACCAATCGTTTGAATGTGGATTATGACAACATCTTTACTCTTCTCCCCCCCCCCCCCCTTCTTCCCATTCCCCATCGCTGCCCGAAGGCGAAACAAATTTGGGCTGAAATGGCAGAAAAATCTTGTTCAGTACTTATATGCGAAAAAACATGCACACAAACAAACACTGAGCACTTCAGTTCACTTTAGTTTGACAGTTCTATATAATAACGATTGCATGCGCTCCAGATTTTCGTACATTGCTCGGAAGAATACTCTAAATTCACGATCTGTAGCAAATCTCTGTGTGAATGAATTGTTAATTGTACAAGTAAGTTTCAAGTGTTCTTGAAAGCACATGTTTTTCTTTTCAGACCGAAGAACAAAAGAAAGCAGCTGACGAGGTAAGATTCTGATCCTATTGTTGCAATTGTTATCAAGAAGACGTATATGATTTACCATAGGCCATGCATTGAATTGATAGGTAGTATGAGTCTAAGTATTAGTAAAAGCTAATCCGTGACGATTGCTCTCGCTATTTTGCGATGAATATGCGAGTACTAGTGCTACGAGCATCTTTCACCATTCTCATATGCCCCGCAAACCTCGCTTATAATGTTGGCCGATCGTCTTGGAGTAGCCTTTAATTGAAACTAAAAAAATTCAATGTACTCTCTCATCCGAAGTAATCTCAACATTTCAGCTCTCAGCGATGCTGCTAGATGTGCCCGTGAGTTGCTGAGTTTTAATAATTGTTTACATTTATTCTGATTTAGAAGTGCACAATACAAAAAAAGATAAACTTTGCGCAAATTTATGAAAGCGGATTTATAAGCTGAAGAAAGCGCTTAACAGCAAACCCAACTCTTTTTATAGCGTGACATTGTCAAAACATCGCGGCTTTTTGTGCCATTAACAATTTTTTGAATACGGAAAGGTTTGGTTGGCGATTCTTCGATATCCTGTAGAGTCAGCCTGAAATCTATTTTTTTCTGCTAATCTTATCCAGTGAAATCGTCTGATTCAGTTCGTTTCAGGAGATTCAGCCGCAAGTACCTTCAGTGAGTTTGCTTCTAGTAGTGTTGAATCAACAGCATGTATCGTTGTTTTCCAAGTTTTTATTGCTCCGAAGAAATTATTCGCACAAGCTATGGGATATCGAGCAAAACTGCATTTTGTGAAAATTTCTAGACGTTTAAAGAATTTGCTCGCTCTCAGGACTCGCACGCAATCAGAGGTGCTTGAGACATATCCCGCATTTCTTTGCGGCAACGATTTCTAAAGATATGTACTATATGTTGCAGTTTTCCTCAATGCACAGTTTAGAATATTTTTCTGTCCTACTTCGTCCTTCACATCGTTTATATATAAGTGTTCTTTATCTAGTGGTAAGCTAGCATAAGTGGTTCCTCTCTGTCCCTATCGATACACATTATAAAGTTCACCATTCCATCCACTTCATGGAGATCAGGTCTCAGTACCCTCAGCATTCCTAAGCCAGATGCCAGGCTTATCTGGTTCAACCGGTTAATCCGGTTCAGCTTATTCGCGATTGGTCAGTTCAGCAGTTTGACCAATAGCAAATGGATGAACTGGAAGGATCTGTTGAGCCGGATAAGTCTGTCACCTATATACCTAATCAGCACACTTGCGTAACGATCCGCATCAAATTCTAACCCTTTGACTGAATATTTGCACAAAAATACCAATAATATCAATAAAGCTCGGTATTTCTCCTCTGCGCGCTGCGTTACCTTGACTACAGTTGCTGTTGCGTCTTCTTCCGGCAGTGGACATAAGAGTAAGTTTTCTTTGCTAATGTCACTTGCCTAATTCGCAAGTTGAGCTAATTTTAGAGTCACAGTATTATTCTCTTGTGTTTTTATTCGGCTGCTTTTTATCTGAATACGCTATGATTGAAAAAAGTTGAGTGATGACGTTGTTTCATTTTTCACTTCTCTTCACCATCGCCATAGCGGAGATTGTGCACTTGCATACATTAGCAAAGCAAACTTTACTGTATATGTGCAAAGATCCTTTCATATATACCCTTTGATTCAACTGGATTGGCGGCTGGAAGGCGGGGCTTCGTGACCTAGTTAAGGCTAGAGAATGATTAGAGAACACCCGCGCGAGAGAGACGCAGGTTGCGTTGCGGACGCGAGCGGCTTTAATTTGGTCACAAAGCTCTGCCTTCCAGCCGCCATTCCAGTTAAATCAAAGGTTATGTTTCAATGACAGTGTGGCCGTCTCTTGCGGCCCATGTCTCGCGCGGCAAGCTGGCTCTGTTTTGAGCCTTCGCGGACGTTTTCATCACACAATTTTTCCATGCCCGCCAGCCTTCGATCGCTGCTCAAATGGGAAAATACTCTTATCATATATGACGCAAAATGCGTGTTTACGCCGACAAGAGCTGCGCAATTCGGCGACACCGCCATTGAGACAGAGGTTATATATCCCTACTGCAAGCACCTCTGAGTTCCAGCGCTGATTGCCTGAAACAAATCTACTAAAATTACCTTTTTCAGTTTTCGGGTATAGCAGTCAAGGAGGCCCCTATCAGAAGGGTGAGTTCAGATCATGTTGTTGCAATTAGTTATCCAGAGACCTATATGATTTGCATGATAAACAGTGCGCTTATAGCCTCAGATGATGAAAAGCCGTAATCTGTTATGATTTCAAACAATTTGTGTTGCGCGCATTTCAAAGTAGTAGTCAACTTTTTGCAAGCGGCTCCTCGGGTTTTTGAAGAGCTGCATATAGTGGCAGTACATGGATTCACTCGCCATACATATCCACTTCGCCCACTTCACCCGTTTCACTATTTTGAAACAAAACAGTGTTCCACTGTTTTATCGTTTGGTGAGAGTCAATTGAATAAGAACAGTGTATCATGAGTACAGTCATAAACATTGAAGTTAAAAAATGGGGATTATGTAAAATTAATCGCTTTCCCCTTCAAAATTTTGAGCAGAAAAAACTCCTACTAAAATGGTTAGCTTCTGAACAATAGTGCAAAGCTTGATTTCAACTTGCCTTTTTAGAGCTACGCCAAGAAATTGTATCATTAGTGCAACTTCCAGTTGGCCATCCAGGTAAGAAGAAATAGAAGTTTTTTCCCAAATTGCGGATTGTCCATCACTGCAAAAATATTTTACCAGAGAATCTAAGTTTCAAAGTTCACAAAAAACAGGTCGAGTGCAGAATTTCTCACCAAGTGCTGTAAAAGATAAATACATTTATGCGTTTCCCAGCACTAGCTGTATCTCGAAATATTACTATTGCTTTTTCGAAACTGCTTTAGCTTGACGACACTCTATATGAAAAGACTATGCGTAGCCGCAAACTCTTCTTATTTCTTAGTTCAAAATGCTAAAAATACCTTCCATTTCCAGA